TAATTTTTGCAGACACATATAGAAACGTTTGAACTATTTTTTAGTTAACGTGGCATCCATTGTTTGGACGCTGGTGATACTAATTATTATAAATAATTCTTTCCATCATGGAAGAAGGTATTTACATGGTACAGAATTGTTTAACATTAACCCTGAGGTGTCAGTCAACATAAACACTTTCACACTGTTTATTAAGCGTATCATATGTTATAATATTACAAGTTTAACGTTAAAATTGTTATCCTCGTATCGCTTCTATATTATTATATATTTCCTTTGTTTATCTATGTTTGTAATCGGTAAATGTGACATCAGCGCCATCTGCTTAGAATAACAACGAGATTTTAAAACTGAATCTGACAGACGTTTATGCAGGATCCGCAAATACGTCAGTGGTGTGATTTTAAGAAGAAGCAAAAAAGACCACAGTTTGTTTAACGATATCCAAACACCGAGATGTTTTTAAGAAAAACCGTGTTCGCGTGGGAGACTCCAGCAATTCGAATCGATATTTTTATGATATCTGTTGCAATTTTTCCAAATTCCTTGGGACTCCATTCTCTTCGCAATTCTATTCGATAAGCAAAGAATGAAAATTAATCTGTCAATACTATCACATTATTTTTTAATACTTTTACCCCATACCAAGCACTTGCTATTTCTCCCCAAACAATTGTTTAGCCATTGTCTAGTAAACTAATGCCTCTAAATTACCAACAAATTTTTGGTATTTATAAAAAAAATTATAAAAAAGTTATTCCCTTTAAAAAGGTCTTACAAATACTTTGCCCTCGGACTGTACATTCTCCGTTGATCGTAATTGCTCTTCCTGTCGCCTAAATAATAAGATACGTTTCATCAATTATTCAGTAACGTTTTCAAAAAAAAAAAATTGTTATCAACGACCATAAAAACTAGCAGCAAGGCTCGAACAATTGCATCTCCTTTCCCCGAGTTGTCCACGCTTTGTTTACGGGCGGCGGGACAATTAGAGACAATTCGCCGTATTCAGAACAATTCAAATAAACCGTAGGACACAAACTGGCAGAATTAATTGCTTGCTATCATCTGCGAGCGCGCGGAACCGTGACATCATACCGCTAGCCCGAATTCGTTCTCGCCTCGGTTGCCCGGAAAACCGACGACGCCGACGTCAATTGACAATTATCAGTTCATAATTAATACGGACGTCTAAGAAGGGTCGCGCGCGAACCGTAATTGGGGATGGATTTAATTATCGCCGATTAATTTCGGGGATAATCGAGTTCGTAGGGTGTGGCCGGGCGAGCGGGGGGCGAGAGTCGATGAAAAGGCCGGCGGATTCGTCGATTCTTCATCTCTGCCGGTTGACGACGAGTTTCTTCGGGGGATTTCGCATTCAGAAATCGTTCGTTGCATATTTAAGCCGCTGAATCTGGGGTTCGAGGGTTCGGAGGGGGGGGGGATTATTAAATTCGTCGCGGCGCAATCTCGCGCCGGGAAAATCGAGCGTGATAGAGAGAGAAAGAGAGAAAGAAAGAAAGAGAGAGATAAGAGAGAGATAAGAGAGTGAGAAGGAGAGGTAAGAGAGAGATAAACAGAAAGAGAGAGAGAAATAAGAGAAAGATAAGGGAAAGAGATGAAGAGAAAGAGAGATATAAGAGAAACAGCGAGAGAGAAGAGAGAGAGAGAGAGAAGAGAAAGAAATAAAGGAGACATCTCTCTCTTTCTCTCTCTCTCTCTCATTGTCTCTTTCATTGTCTCTCTCTTTCTCACTCTCATTGTCTCTCTCTTTCTTATCTCTCTCTCTCTCTCTTATTTCTCTCTCTCTCCCTCTCTCTCTCTCTCTCTATCTCTTATTTCTCTCTCTCTCTCTCTCTCTCTTCGTTAAGAGTGACAAGAGAGAGAGAGAGAGAGAGATAAGAGAGACAATGAGAGAGAGAGAGAGATAAGAGAGACAATGAGAGAGAGAGAGAGATAAAGAAAGTGAGATAAGAGAGACAAGAGAGAGAGAGAGAGAGAGAGAGTGAGAGAGAGAGAGAGAGAGAAAGAGAGTGCTAACACAAAGAGAGAGAGAGAGAGAGAGAGAGAGAGAGAGAGAGTGAGAGAGAGAGAGAGAGAGAAAGAGAGTGCTAACACAAAGAGAGAGAGAGAGAGAGAGAGAGAGAGAGAGAGAGTGAGAGAGAGAGAGAGAAAGAGAGTGCTAACACAAAGAGAGAGAGAGAGAGAGAGAGAGATCTAACAAAATAGTATAGAGCGAGAGAGATAGAGAGAGAGAGAGGTAGAGAATCCTCCAGGGATTATTCGGCCCAGACGTTCTCGAGACCACGTGCTGCACGCTCGTGACCACGAATAAATTCGGCCGCTTTTATTCCGACGAGTTCGTTCTCTCTCTCTCTCTCTCTCTCTCTCTCCATGTTTTGTTGGCTATTTTCTACGCGCGGATGCACCCGTCGATCGAAAAACGCGGTCCCAAGCAGTTTCAGGAGAATAGAACGGTACATCAGCCGCCGCGCGGCCTCCTCCTCAGCTGTAGAAGGGGACCCGGAGAGAATTTACTGGTGACCGAAATAGACCAGGCGATGTTCAAGAGCCGGTACGTTCAACCTTGGCACTGTGTTGGCCGCCTCTCCTCGAACATCCATTGTTCGGTACGCGAGGAACACTCTTATCGCCAGTGCCTGTTAGAAATAATTGCTGCCATAAAATCTCTGAATAGTCCATTATTGCGATACCTGTTCCGCGGTATCGTCGATTGATTCCTTCGCTGTTCCAACCGTACCCTTTTGCACTCCCGGAGGGATATTCTTCTGTCGCTAGACCCGCGATTTTTACGCGAAAATGTATACGGCCGTTTCGCACCCCGGATTCCACGCATTACGCATCCCGTATTCACCGTTTCGTTTTTTTCCCTTTTTTTTCTTTTCAAATCAAATTCATCCTCTCGCAGGTTTTCACGTTCGCCCTTCTTCTCAAGTCAAATACATCCCTCGCGCAAACCGAATTCATTTTGAGGGCGCCGCGAGAGTGGAATATAAATGTGACTGTAAATTAACTTCGGATTAACGGAAATACGTACGCGTATTTTCGAAAGGAAAAGATATGCTATCTTTGTACGGCTTTACGCGCGATCCGTTAAATTTATTTATAGAAAAACCCTGCTGTTTTATTCCAAAGGCAGGGCTTGAATTTAACTGTAAAGTCCAACTGAAAACTTTTGTCAATACGAGTTATATAAATGCGCGTAAGTTATATGGAATTATATGTTCAATTGTATATTTTGCATTATCAATTATATATTCAATTATTTTCAATTATTTCAATTATTTTCAATTATTTCAATTATTTCAATTATTTCAATTATTTCAATTATTTCAATTATTTCAATTATTTCAATTATTTCAATTATATTCAATTATATTCAATTATTTCAATTATTTCAATTATTTCAATTATTTCAATTATTTCAATTATATTCAATTACTTCAATTATTTTCAATTATTTCAATTATTTCAATTATTTCAATTATTTTCAATTATTTTCAATTATTTCAATTATTTCAATTATTTCAATTATTTCAATTATTTCAATTATTTCAATTATTTCAATTATATTCAATTACTTCAATTATTTTCAATTATTTCAATTATTTCAATTATTTCAATTATATTCAATTATTTCAATTATATTATTATTATATTGAATTATATTGAATTATATTATTATTATATTCAATTATATTGAATTATATTATAATTATACATATTGAGCGGATTTATAACAGTTGCCTTCGACCAAAAAAGTTCAAAATATCAAAAAATGTCCCCAATTTCGCTCTCCAAGTACACACACAGAAATTTACGAAATAACAGTTCCGCACTGTAATTTAACGTCAAATTCACCTCGTGCAAGAAGAGAAAATCTTTTAAAATCCGTGCCGCTGTAAATGCAAAT